TACCTGACAAGAATCATTCTTTCATATAATATCAGAACTAATATTCATTGTTTTCCACCAGAAAACTTCTTTTGTACAATACTAAAACCAGAACAAACCCTTTATTTTGCACAAAACCAGAAACAATGGTTTTATGGTAAAACCAGAACCATTAATTTATACAAAAACAGTGTCAGAACCATTTCTTTTATACAAATCCAGAAACAATGGTTTTATGGTAAAACCAGAACCAATATTATACAATTCCAAAATATTCCAAATCATTGCACTTCCTACATCATAAAAACAGTTTTTATCATATCTTGTCTACGTCACAAGAACCATTTCTTGTATATGATGTGAAAAACATGTTTTTTTAATGATAGTGAAAACAGCCCTCCTTAATGCCAGAAACAAAGCTTATTTCAATAACCATAGCATACATTTTTTTTGAATGATCAGGACATTCTGGTTAGATGATCTGTAAATATATATATATATCACCCTCTGTTCTTTCTTATATATAGTTCTGTTAAAACCAATATTAATTGTTAACGTTGTCAGACATTGTTTTCTGCAATACTATCGCGAGAAAAAAACAATAAAATCAATATTTAACTTTATGCCACTGAAATGAAGAAAGTTGCGTAGGACCAATCATGTATAGTAAGCCAATTAGTAAAATCTACCACGAATACAAATATAATCAACCGAAAAAAATAGTGGAAAATAACCAACATGAGCGACAATATCATGAACAAATCCAATTAATGTCAGCAAAACAATCGTCTTTGATAATATCATCGTCAGAACAAATAGTATAAGAAAAAAAAATCATATATCGCAATATCATAACTAAAAGTCTGGATATCATCAACAGAATATAATAGACGCAGAGTCAAATACATATATGGTACCATCATCAGCAAAACCTGAAATATATGGTAACATCAAACATCAAACTTAAAACATGCGGTAGCATCAACCGTAAAACCTAAAATATATGGTACCACCAGCAGCAAAACCTGAAATACATGGTAACATGATCCGTAAAATCTGAAACATGCGGTAACATTATCTGTAAATCCTGAACTATGATGGTATCAACATCATACGTAAGACCTGAAGTAGTTGATAACATTAGGAGTAACATCTCATTTATGGTGGTAATAACATCATTAGTGAAACCTGAAATATGGTGGCAACGGCATCAATAAAACTTGAAACATGTGTAATATTGAAAATTAAAAGTAATATAATGTTAAGTTCTTGCATAGTTGTACAATATATAAGATTTATTAAAAACAGGGCACGGTCCCAAAAAGACAGATTCTACATGCTGGGGTGGCGTTCTACGCCGCCATCATAGGTTTAACATATTATGAGTTAACATTGTTAACGAATGTTTCACAAATCCAGTGAAAACCGATACATGTTTGAAACTACCAATACTTATTTAGCTATAAGAATGTTCTTACAGTGGTGAAGAAATGTTTTTCGATAAGACCAGCAAACACAAGAACACGTCTTAACAACACCAAAAATACTACAATACCTGTCTAATAACACAAACAAACGATATAATACATGCGTAATCATATGAACGAACGCTACAATACATACCCGTCTTAATTAATAACATTATCAGAAATTATAATGTTTTATCTTAATAAAAGTAGAAAACACCATAATGTTTCAATAACACCATCAGACACTATAATGTAAATCTATCACATACAACATGTCTTAATTATACCAGAAAACACCACAATATGTGTTAATAACACGAACAAATACTATAATCCAGCAAATACTTCAACTCGTGTTTCATAACACCACAAAACAATACAATATGGCTTTATCAGTGGCTCAGCGGGAAGTTTGAGGATTTATAACGTTAAAACCGAGCTTTGATATTCACAGTGGGAAAAGCACAGACAGCCCATTGTGCAGCTCTGTACTTAAAAGCAAACACTACAGCGTGTGTATTTAATAACACCAACAAACACTACTGCGTGTGTATTTAATAACACCAACAAACACTACTGCGTGTGTATTTAACAACACCAACAAATACTACTATGTGTTTTAATAACACTAGAAATCACTACAATATTTCTTTAATAATAGTATCAGAGACAATGTTTTAATAACATCGGAAAACGTATAATATTTGTCTAATAACATGAGAAAACACTTTAATACATCTTAATAATATCAGTAAGTACTTCAATAATACTAGCAAACACTACAACATACCCGTATAACAACACACTACAAACTCTACAATAGTGTCCTAATAACATCAATAATGTCTGAATAATACCACCTAACTTTATAATTTATCCTTTAACAGCACTACCAAACTTTACAGCATGAACTTTAATAGCACTAGCGGGAAAAAATACATGTGTTTAATAATAACAGTAAATGTCTTTCCGAGTACCACCAGCAATAAGAATATAATTTTCTTCGCTGTCAATACGACACACGTAATACATAAGTCGAACTTGCCTCCATAGAAATGTCGTTATTTGAATCGTCTATTCTGTGTTAGTGACACAAGAGTCGGTTTTTGCCTTAACATTAATGATTATAAGCAGACTGTAAGACTAGAGCTGCCTATTACAGTAACTAGGTCAATAGGGGGATAATATTTCTTTTTTTAAATTACTACATAATCAGGATTGAATGGCTTAATGATTGCTGAAGCACGTTAACTACAGGCTTGAAGTGAATATGAATAATTTCTTAATCTTAGATATTCGACGATTTTACTCGCTTATCACATCATGATTTAAGAAATTCCTTTGAACTGTTGTTTACACAGCATATTTTCACTTCAATGATGATCTTTATAATCATATGTCTCAATAAGCTCTTCAAGATTCATTAACTCGCTTGGATGCCAAATATAAAAATAACACATTGATAATTTAAAAGGTACTGATGGACATTGACGCATAAATGGTAGCTCAATTTTGATAAATAAGGAAATACCTTGGTTAGTTTAATTTAATTTTGAAGAATAAATTGTCGTTTTTACGTCGATATATCAAAGTTGACGAATAAATCAAACTTTTTTGAGGCATTTTAATGTATGAATTGAAGTCTACTCTTAATTGATTTTGATATATTAATATAAACATGGTATCGATAGATCCTCACATATGGACGTAAGTCTTTTTTTGGTGAGACTTTTGATGTAAAAATGAAAGGATTTATTGATGAGTTTTGGTACATGAATTAGACCTTGTCTTGATGGATTTTAATATCGGAATTTAGTGTTTCTTTATGGATTTTCACACAGAAATTATGACCATGCTCTGTATAAACTGCCGTATAAACAAGGGCCTTCATACAAAAATTTTGATCAATGAAAGAAGAATTTTTTTCATAGATTTTGGTCCATAAATGAAAATTTTGTAGTGATGGATTTTAACGCATAAAAATGTTGTTTTGTTTATAAAATTTGATGTTTGGATAAAAATCTTGCCTTAGATTAATTCTAAAATATATAACATATTTTTTGATGGACCATTATGTTTAAATTCAAGCCTTGACTGAAAGTTTTGATGTATAAATGTAGACCCTGACGTGAAAGATGCTGTTCTACAGGTAAAAGTATTATCTTGATGTATTAATATATTTGACTATGGAAGTACGATATCTATTATTGACGCAGAAGTTATATACTGATGTTTTTAAGTATTTTCAAGGCTTTTTATAATGGATTTTAATATATAGAAAGGTATTTTTTAAATAAATTTTAGAAATTCAAAATAAAGCCTCATAAATATAGATTTTGATTTAAAGCCTGATAGAATATGACGTATGAATAAATAATTTGAATGAAGTTTTATGAACGAATAAAGGCTTTGGTTTGATTGACTTTGGCGTAAAAATGGAAAACAGTTGCTTAATATAATAATCGGGAATTACATTTAATATTGTGCTTGTAGCAGATCGATAACTTTTAGAATGGCTTTAAACCTGTAGAAAAGATATAATATTGGATTGAACCTTGTTAGAGTAAATGATTTAAAACGACACTTTTGTAAAACATCTATTTACAAGGAATAGAACGTTAAAAGCCTTAAAAAAAACTCTACATATTGCTAGCACAGCGGAATTCACGTGACATTGGTAACACGTGATGAATTTCTCGAATGATCATGAATTATCGGGGAAGACCGAGTTTGTTCGAGACGCCCTCTTTTTTAGTATATAAGCCTGGCAGGAAAGCCTGCGGGATTGAATAGAGAGAGTTCTGGGTAATTTACGATTCTGTTTCGAGCTAGTGTGTGTTTTCGAGATTGTGAATCGCTGTAATTTATAGCGTGTATTATAAAAGAAGTTAAGTTTAAAGTGACGAAAAACGTACTGACAGTGGAATTACTGTGTACTAAAGGTTTGTATCGAGAAATAATAAACTCGTTTAATCAAGAAAGGACTTGTATTGCTGAAGTTCCTCGGAAAGAAATCCTACCGGAAATTAACAAACAAGCAGATACGTAACAATATGTTCGGTGTCCTATGACATCATCTTCAGGTCATAGGACACCGAAACATATGTAGTCTCTTTTTTAGGGCAAGTCCCTGTTTTTAATAACTATTTATTGTGTAATGATTTTAACACTGTACTCCTCTTAATTCTAAATACTTGTTAGAGTAATCTTAATAATTATACAATTTAACTAAATTGTTTGTTTGTTTTTTAATTATGCACAAAGCTACACAAGGACTATCTGTGCTCTGCCCATCACGGGTATCGAAACGACAATGAGAAAGATGCGCGATACTTTAGTTTCATAAATTTAGGCCTACCACTGTTGTAACAGGGCATCAGTCTGTTTTTCTAAGCCTTAAAAATAAATGAAAAATGTAAGGAATGTAATGCTTAAAATTAGGTTAAAATATTTGACTGAACGACAGTAGATAGAATTAACATGTATACGTTCTATTTCAGTCTATCTATTAACTCATTTGTTATTATAATAGACAGAAAGGCGAATCCAAACCTGAAAAGAGTGATGCCACAGCAGCGATTAGAAATGATAAAACGACTCCAGGTCCGGCTACATTTCTGGCCACCATCCCCGATACCAAATACATTCCTGTCCCCACACAACTTCCAACCCCCAAAGAGATCAAGTCAAACGTTGTCAAGCATTTCTGTAAAGATAACATTAACATAAGGCTAGTTTATATTACCAGATATAAGCGAGCCGGTGGCAGATTCTTTCTGAAACTGAGTGTTTGTTCCAAGAACCAGGAAATTGGAAACTATGAGGCCAATTTCTTTTACAAACTTCAAACAAACTGGTGATAGAATCTTAGCAATCTTCAGGTCCGGAATCAATTATATAACCTTACTTTAAGGAGCTGTTATGTTAATTGTATACTAAATCTGTTAACTAATCTTTCTTTTGTTCCTCGACATCTGTTCGGCAAATAAGTACCTTGAGAATCGTGTATCGGATTCAAAAAATCTGAGAACGGATCTTTACTTTGAGTCAGGTGCACGAAATTAAATACACATCAATACCATAAGTTGATGTCCACCTTTTGGTGTAAGATGCCTCAAAACGGGTCTATATTTTTAAAAAGTTGGTTTTTATCCAATGTTAATATTTGAAGACGAATTATCAACTTGAGCATAATATGTGATTTTCAGACTTATGGTTGAGGGAATTTGACTGACGCTGAATGTAGAAGACCTTCAGCTTGATGTTCTCCTGCAGGATCTAGAAGACTTGATGATGAATACTCACCTTAAGCTTGATGTTCTCCTGCAGGATCTAGAAGACTTGATGATGAATACTCACCTTAAGCTTGATGTTCTCCTGCAGGATCTAGAAGACTTGATGATGAATACTCACCTTAAGCTTGATGTTTTCCTGCAGGATCCAAGAGACTTGACGATGGATACTTACACTGAACTTCATGTTTTCCTGCAAGATCCAAGAGATTTGACGATGGATACTTACCCTGAGCCTGATGTTTTCCTGCAGGATCCAGATTTGATTATAGTAGCTATTACCAGATATAGAAAATTTTATGACAGATTTTTTTTGCGCGAACGTGACATCAGTTGTCTGCTTCAAGAAATTTGATCACGAATACTTACTTAAATTATGCTTGATGTCTACTACGCAGTAAAGTAGATTTGATGATGATACTCAATTTGATCTTGTTGGCTGTTGCCGGATGTAGGATATCTGATATCGAACACTTATCTTGAATGTAGTGTCTGTTGCAGGTTTCAAAATATTTGATTATTATTTTTTTACCCTGTGTTTTGTGTCTGCTGCAGAGTCCAGGGGATTTCATAACTGGTTCTTTACCTTGAGATTGATAGATATTTTTCTCATGTATGACATCTGATGTTGACGGATACGCACCTTGAGCATGGTATCTGCTGCAGCGTCTAGGATATTTCATAACTGGTACTTATCGATGGAATTATGGTTGTATGAGACATGATGATGACAGATACATACCTTGAGTTTATTATCTACCCCAGAGTCCAGGAGATCTGACGACGGGTCCTTAGTCCGGATTAATTTCCCCACAAGAATAAGGAGCTTGGCTTTAATTCGATCGGATTTGCTGGTAAACATGGCCATGGAATATTTTCTGGTTGTAAGCTGAAGGACATAATAGTATAATAAATCAAAACCGATAATAAACTTTGTTTTTATAATCATTAAAACAAATTTTGTTTTTATAACATAGTCCAAACATATTAAGCTCGATATAATCTACGAGATATTGCTTTATTTTAGCTTCAGTGTTCGAATAATATAATTATAGATTACTGTCTATTTGTTATATAAATGGGACGGTAAGGAACAAAGATGTTTAACCACATCAAAAATATGAAGTGTGGTGAAAAGCGATATAATTGATATATCTTATTGTAGAAAAATTCGAACAAATATGCCGTTCGTCTGATTGTTTTCTTTCACTTGCGCTCGTAATCTTATTATCATTATTTTCTTAAATAAAACCAAGGATTTCGTTCAAGCAAAACAGAATCAGGAGAATAGGCAATAAATGATTCTTTGATTCTTAAGAAATCACTCGGATTTTATGGTATTGGGTATTGGTAGTAATATTGTCTACCCCCTAGTGGTTCAGCGGTAAGCCTCAAAACTTATAATAATAAACGAGATTTTGTCCTCGCAGCGGACACAAGTCTTAACATAAGTGTAATAGCTTTACACTAAAATTCGTCAGTTAGGCTGGACGATGAGAGACAAAATATTCTCTGAAACGTTTTTATAAATGCACTGTAATAATTTATCAGTTACGGTTCAAACGCTGAAAGTTGGCGAACCACTTGAAACAAGTAGGCCTAAAATTTATGATAAAAAACACGCAAAGTAAATGTTATTTTTTCACATTTCTCTTACTTTGTCCATTTTATTTGTCAATTGACAAGATCTGATATTGCACAAAAGGCCTCTCACGTAGGAGATAGATCTAAATGCTATTTTTTACACGTCTCTTAATTTGAGTCCGAGATGGTCAAGTTAAGATGAATATGGAAAGAAAACATTTGTTGTTTATATGATTACTATTACAAATTATAAGCCTATTGGTTCTAGTGCTTCAATAGCTTTCGCGTTAATTTTGATACAAAATACTGATGAAGTTTTCTTAGAATATCTTCATACAATTACACACGAAATAATGTGACTGACCGAAGTTCAAGGAAGTATATCCACCCACTCAATCTCAAAATGTTCAAACACGTGTTATAATCTTTGTAGAAAGTATAAAGACACTGACACAATTTCAAAAATTTCGTACATTTTAATCATTCAAATATCAGAATACTTCAAGTAAGTGTATTGTAATATCACGGAAAAAACACCAACTCTCAAACCACTTTAAAATATTGTAAAAATGTGTCTGAATAAATCTGGTTGGGATATAATAAGATGACAAGATTATTTTGATTTTCTGAAACAAAGTTACCGATTAGAAAAAATTCAAACGAGAACCTTTGTTTTTAACACTCAAATTGGTTGCATGTTTTGTTAACTAAATCTAAAGTTATTCCTTATTTGCTTAGTTAAGTATGCATTTTCCAAACTTCATTCTAACCCGGTGATTCAGTGGAAAGATTTAAGCATTAAATGCTAAAATACGGGGACTGAGCCCTGCATCGGTCAGAGGACAAAACAGCTATATATCAGTTTTATAACACACTGAACAAACTATCAAACCCTATGTTGTCGCTAGTGTAAGTTTTGAAATCTGTGGATATAAGTCCATTTTTATTTTAAATTTTAACTTGTCTCTTGAAATAATATTACCGATTTTGAATATACAAGAATATTAAAAGAAATATAATATTAAAATGAAGTGGGGATCCTGTTATAAAAAATAATGAAACAATAATTAAAACCACAATCACAAATTTATATAATTTAATCCCTTCTTTGGCAGCTTTATACATTTATCTGTAGGCCAAAGTAAAGATTAACTTTTATAAATTTGTCATAGTGGTTTTAATTCTTGTTTCATTACTTTTTATAGCAGGATCCCTACTTCATTTTAAAACTCATAATTTTGTACTACTCTTGTATACCGAAATAATGCACCTAAGACACAGAATAATTACATGCAGAAAGCAAGCATTGTCCTGTTACGTCTCTGGTCGTTTGTTAATTACCCGTAAAAATTCTTTCGGAAGAACTTCAGCGATACAAGTTCTTTCTTAAATAAAACTAGTTTATTCTTTCTCAATACAACTTTGCAATACACTTAATTTCCACAGTCACTTTAACTTT